GTGTGCACATGGTGTCCGGTTCGCCGGCAGATGTTCAGTTCAGATGTGACTTACGTCACTACGTGGCTTCGGTCACGAGATCAGTTATCAGTTACGTGACTTATGTCGCGAGTTCAGACCGGTATCAGATTCAGTTCAGTTATATATGCTTAGTTCATGATATTGTTATTATTTACAATGTTTTACATTAGTATGAGTTTCCACGGAGCACAGTGCCTTAGTGCTCACTCCCCAGTTTTATCATGTTTTTCAAGTCAGGATGTCGGGCCGGGAGCGTGACGTGACGTGACGGGACTTTCAGGATATTTATCTATGTTTTGGACTGTATAAATATGATTATGACTTACGCTTCCGCTTATGTTTTGATGACTTGTGATGATGTTTTTGATAACTTTTGACGTACTCGTTTGACGAACTCATCACTTTGACGAACTTTTAAGAAAAATTAAGTTTTCAATAACCGAACGTTTTTATAAATTAAAACAACGGTTTTCTAAGTTAAGTCACGATTTTTAAAGGTAGCACCCAAATCAGTTTTCGCAAAGTAAAAAGGTTTTATTTTTAAATAACTTTGCGAATTTTAGCGCACTCTGATTTTACAGTAAGGAGGGGTGTTACAATTGGTATCAGAGCACGTTTCTGCGTCTCTGATAAGTTTTCAGACAGTAATTTTTCAGAAAAGCCTGAACCGTCATGCTCACGCCCCGCCGACGACAGGTAAGTGCTGATTCAGTTTTCTCAGTTATAAACATATTACTTTGTCTATGCTCAGAATAAAGGATCAGGACTTAGTTAAGATGCTCGAATCAGGTTCAGATTTTAGAGTTCGGACATGACTCTAGAATTCAGGCATTCAGATATGACTCTAGACGTTAGGATCTTCCCATATGACTCTAGAGTTCTTCAGTTTTCACGTCAGTATTTATCGGCCACTTTTGGCGACTCGTCAAGAGATTTGTGTGCCTTAGTAATCAGTCAGAATGTTATCATGTATTCAGTAATGTTAAACTTTCTCAATGTTCAGATGCCGCCCCTTAGGGAACCCGATCACCCAGTTTTTACTCAAGCCACAGTAGTCGCACAGTTCCGCGACTATCATGTTGAGAAATTCTCCGGGCAGGGAAATCCCCGTATCATGGGCAAGTGGATTCAGAACCTTAGAAAAGTATTAAGTTTGGGAACTTTAGATTCAATTCTAGATTCACTCAAGTCAAGTTAGCAACTTGTCAGAAGATTTGTAAGCACTCGTACTAAACAAATCTTAATAATCATGTTTCTCAGATATTTTTATCGAGGACTGCCATTTT